TCTTTGGTGAAAAGAGTTTAGTCTGTGATGTGTATTTTTTATTCAAATTAACACAACCACAAATACCACATTTACTGATCCATATTTCTGCACGTGCTAAATATTCACACTGGTAGTACAAATATGCCTGTTAGGTCTCAGCAGTAAACCATGACAGTATCGCTAGTCAGACTTAATGGTTTCAATTACACTAACACCCTTACAAGAAACAATATAAAGGTGTATGTAAAAAAAACCCAAACAACAAACCACCAAACCATTGACTGCAGATACCCTCCATTTCTTCTTGTCCATTAGCTTTAGCAATAATGGCTAACACTGTGTGTCCGCAGCAGACGGACAATGCTATCGGTATTTTAGGAGTTCTGTCCTGCAGTGGCATGGCAGAGGGCATCATGCCATAGCATCATTCAGTATTTATATATCAGTGCTAGGATCTCACCATTTTAAATGCAGAACACTGTAGCCCTTTTTGCTGCATTATTTCCAAGTAGTTTCTAGAAGATCATGAACCATAACCTTCCTGAAATAAAGGAACATTAGTACTCTTAAAGAACACATTGTTTCAGTATATAATCTATTGCTTGCTAAAATATACCCTTGCAAAACTGTGGTGGTTTTTTTGTTGTTTTTTGTAAGTCTAACTGGGGAAGGGAGGGGAAGGAACAGTTCAAACTTACCACCTTGGTTGAACCCAGCCTTTATTGCCCAAGAATTGCTCTACAATTAGTCAAACACACATTTTCCAAATATTCTCATCTTTTATGTCCTTACATATGACAAAATCTTTCTAGCCTAAACTTTTTTTACATATATACCTCAGGAATCTTGACGGAAGGAGGGGGGTATGGTTTTAGTGAGGATTCCAGCAGCTCTTCTCTGAAACAACCTGCAAAATTTCATCTCGGTTGTGACTAAGAAAATGGCTTTATAAGCTAGCTCAGTTAACTCATGTGAATCGATTTTTAACTGAAAAAATATTTTACAGTACAATTTTACTCTTCTGCAAGCTGCCTAATAACTAGAGATGCAAATACCTATTGGAATTTATATTTTTATTGCACAACCTTAAAGACTTTTGCTCTATGACTTTCAGTTGCCATGACACAGTCCAGAGCTAAAGTGATTAATTGCTACTCATTACAACAGCACAATTGTTTTAAATAGGTGGGTCAAATGACCTGGAAATACTGTTCATTGCTGGCATTAGACAATATTAAATTAATCTAAAAAACAGCAGAAATTACTAATCACTGAAACTCCCTCATTCAGGTATATGGACTATTCCAACAAGAGGAGTTAAGACACTGCGCATTTTTTAGCTAACTAGTGGCTGGGCGAGCGAGAACTAAGAGGTTCAGGTATAAACTACTGAAATTATCCCTGTTTGAAGTAAAACGCAAACCAACTTCTCTGTTCTTCCTCTCCCCTCTCCACCTGTCTTCAATGAAAAAGAGTTCTTAGGTTCATGTACCTCAGATAAGATTTATTGTCACTGCTTTATATATTGGACTTTAACACCATCGCTGCTGAACACAGAAGCAGCAAAAAAGACTTCATTCAAGTTTAGAACTGAAAATAACATGAAGACAGGGGCATGCCATTTTCATATCTTTTAAAGAATGAACTACTACTCTGCTCCCCACCCTTGAATTTGCAACTACGGTGTTTCCCATAGGCCTACAATTTGGTACTCCTGCAGGGCTAATTATTGACCTAAATCAAGTGCCAAAATCATTAAGAATGGCATTTTCTTGTAAGCAGAAAATAAATGTTAGAATGTTAGAAGTTGCTGGGTTTTTTTTAAATAAGTTACTAAGTAAAAATACACATGCTATTCTTTGATTTATGAATCAGGAAATACTGACATCTAGCACTACCATAAACTACTTTGTTCACATAAAGATATGCTCAGTCATGCTCACCTGCAAGCACTGACAAACACAACCTTCAGTCAGCAGCCATCAACATTTCAGTCTTTCAAGAGTAAGTGCTCCTCAAAAAACAGTTTCACCTTGGGACCCTTCTGTAGGGGCAGGACACATTAGCACATAGTAGATGCCAGAAGAAAGATTAAATTGCTGTCTGTCTCATTAGCACTACTTGTACAGAACCATTCCACAATCCAGGTCCACATATTCAGGCACTCCTCATCATTTTCAAGTGGGATGCTGTGCTGGTTTTGGCTGGGATAGAGTTAATTTTCTTCACAGTACCTAGTATGGGGCTATGTTTTGGATTGTGCTGAACACAGTGTTGATAACACAGGGATGTTTTCCTTATTGCTAAGCAGCGCTGACACAGAGTCAAGGCCTTTTCTGCTTCTCACCCCACCCCACCAGCGAGCAGGCTGGGGGAGTACAAGAAGGTGGGAGGGGACACAGCCGGGACTGCTGACCCCAACTGCCCAAAGGGAGATTCCACACCATACAACATCATGCTCAGCATATAAAGCTGGGGGAA